TTTTGATTTAACCTGTTTTAAAAAAGTTATAACACTTCAAAGTTTTTATTAATAAACATTGGATGTCTTTTACTGTCCGGTACTGTATAAATTTTACCTCCAAATCTGACCCATACTCTAAAAAAAAAAACTATCACAAAATTTTGGCTTGTCCGTTTTACATTACTGCATTATACAAAATTTCATTTTAATCCATCACATTTATTATCAGAGATTTATTCTATTTATGTGGATTGTATATCTTTGGTTATAATCATGCAATTTAGCTCTGTGAACATGCCTCCTGATTAGAGATGGGCAAATCGCGGTTTTACAAGAATCCAGCGCGTCACGCGCGGGATTCACATCCCGGCGGGATTGAATCTCAAATTTGCGAATTTTTTAATTTTTTGTATGGAATAAAAAAATTAAGCAGAAATTATTATTGAAAATCAAATTTTTTGTTCAAATTAGTTGTTTCTTATAAATCTTATTTATTATAAATAAGGAAGCTGCATGACATAGTCATGCTAGAAACCAGGAACGAAAGCAAATATGGTAGGTAACAAATAGTCCAAGTAACGTACAAACGAGAACTGATCTAGCATCTTATTAATATATTGTGAAGCATTTGATATGCACTACCGGGCAGTTGACTTGTATTAACTAATTAAGCAAACTTTACAAGGCATCTCAGGTTATCAGGTTATCCGAAAAATTATTTTACTATTGCCTTTGATGATCATTGATTATTATTTAATCAACCAAATAAAAATCGTATGAAAAAAAAATGAAATACGTTAAATATCAGTAAATAGATAAATTAATCTGTATCGGGTTAACAATTTTTGAGTCTAAAATTCTTTGCTTTTATGTTGCTAGTTATCGCGCATTTTTTGTTTTCAAATTATACTCTGTAATTACATGCCCAAAAACTTGATGAATAAATCATGCGGACCAATCAAACTTACACTTCAAACAGCATATATCTGATATATTCCATACACTCATTACATTCGTTCCTGGTATTAGAAATTAATCTAAATATGTTAATGCAGGCCATATATTATGTTAATGCCGGCCAGATGATATGTAATGCCGGCTAGATGATTTATTTTGTGATCATATTAAAATCCCGCGCATCACGCACGCGCCCATCTCTACTCCTGATAAAGGTTGTTGCTCACTTTCCCGAAGTTCAGTTTTCCGAAATGCCATTCCACCGAAGTCGTAATACCGGCAATCCATTTTACTAACAGGACAGTGTTATTTCGCCGAATATCACCGATAAAGTAATTCTGGTCATTGTCGTTAGAGTCAGGTTTAGAATTAGGGTTAAGGTGAGTGCAATTTTTAAAGACCTGTTGTGATATGAGCCGTCAGTGAAATAAACTTATCGCTTAATTGACTTTCAGAGAAATTATACAAAACGGATTTTTGGTATTACGATTTCGGTAAAATTGTATTTCCGAAAAAATGGATTTCGGATAAACTACCCGATGGTAAATTATCCGGTGTGGGACCGAATGGACTCTGGCTGTTTCGGTGGGTTGGTTTTAGGTAGGTATTGTCAAAGGTAAAACCGTCACGCCGAAAGACCTGCAAAGTGATCGTCATAGTGGCATACTTACCTAATTGGTGGCGCCCATGACGATCCACTTGAAACATGTGCGCCCGGCCAAGAAAGCCATACGATAGCATACAAGCCTCAATGCGGGACCCTATCAACCCTCCAATTAAAGGTCGATCTGGACCAACCTGTTCGCACCACTAAGACTGGGAATGGACGTAGACTCGACTGGGAATGGACGTTGACTCCACTTTACCCTACTTGGGTTAAGTGTGAGGCAATGTCGAGGGGATGCGATTGTAATAATTATGCTGGGTTCCGGCCCCGGGACGAACGGTACTGAAACATTCTCATCGGTTCTATGAAGAACGTGAGAAACGTTAAAGTAACGAAGGCTGTGTCTATGAAAAGGTCAAAGGTTAGAACAAAAATTGGTGGAATTCGATAGGAACAATGAGAAGAGTCGTGGTCTTGTACGTGCTCTTCTCATGGACAATTCGTTATAAAAAGGGTGGAATTTCCCCCTCTTGAAGAGTAGTTCAAGTTCAGAACAATTCAAGTCAGAGTAGTCCACAAGTCCAATAAAGTCCCTATACAAAGTAATAAAAATATTAATAATGTGCTTTTTGAACTACCTAATACAATAACACTCTTTGAAAATTCCTTATACTTATCTTGTAACGCTCCTTAACGATCGCCTTGACCTTGTGCCAAATCGTAAAACCGCCTCTATTATCTTTGAGGAACGTTACGCGGCATAACCCTTTTTCAAGCGACAATCCGTCGCATTTTCCCATCTCTGAACCCGACCATTTAACCCGTGACAGTATATATATGTAAAATTGCCCTCCCGACATTTTTACTTAACCTACTTGATGTGGTTTTGACTACTGTTTTTTGTATTTTTTAGGTTTTTCGTTTTTCATTCTTGGATTGTTTCGCCGGCGATCATCAAAATTCTATAATTTGATTGTCCCGAGTTATTTCCGCTTTAGACGACCCCCTAATTTGGTAACAGGTCGCATGCGGCCGATCAGTAGAAAGACGAACGGTATTTTGGGACGTGCCGCAAAGCGGCATGTGAGCCAATCATTTGCCAAATTACTGTATTCGCAAATTTGCACAATAAGGTGTGTTATCTGGCATGATTGGTAGGCTGCGTTTTAATTTGAATAAGCATTATCACATGAAAAAATAATGTACAGAAATATATATTTGATCATAAGAGCTTGCTGGATAACGACTGTTATCTAATTCCAGTAATTTCAACAATACCGGATTTGTAATCAAGCTATATGTGTCATTCTCCAAAACTTTGTATTTGCTGGATCTTGTAAAATCTTAACACAGAAAATCAAAGTCTTCATGTGTTATTAAGGTTTTGAGTCAGTTACTAACCGATTTACTGCTAAGATATACGGAAAGCAATTCTTTGAACCCATTATGAGGTAAAGATGAATAGTCTTGAGATTGGTTATCGGATAGAAAGGACGAAAGAAATAATAATAATAATTTTGTATTTTATTTTGACGATTTATCATGGCAATCAATTACACTTATTAAATTCTGATCCAACCAAGCAGATTCTAAAACCACAATAATCCCGATTCAACGTACGACATTATTTAACGATATAAATTTACAAAATAAAAAAGGTGTGAAATCCAATAATATTTATATTTTGGGGCCGTGCGTAAACTTTTTATTTTTAATAACGATTGACTCTATATAATGTATGCATGATCAAGTAATACAAAACCTAAAGTACATATGGTTAAAACTTTTAAGTTTATTCATAATTCCATCTATATATGTAAGTACTCGTTTCAACTACATAGGTAAAAAAAAAATTACTGTGAAGGGACATAAACAGACAGGAATTCGGTAAAATCGGAAACTTCATTTTGTGAATCTTAATTTATAATCTTACATGAATTGGGATTATGAAAATTTAAAAATTAATTTATATATAACGATTTTGCCAAAAGAAAATGTAAATAAAAATAGGGTGATAAATTAAATGCCACGAAACTAGTTAAGATTCATTTTTTCCCTAAAAAAATTCGTACGATTTTGAATGTCTGAAAACCACACGGTTGGACATAGTCTTTTTATTTATTCACAAGAGGGTGTTCCAAAGAATAATATGTCCGAAAATTGAGTATTTTGCGGAGAAACAGTTTGATTTTGATTTGCTGGACTTTGTGTTTCAATGAACGGGTTGCCACCGTCAATTAAATGTGTAATGATAAGATTATTGGATGAATTTATTTGAGTTGTAGTATGTTGAAATTGACTACCAGTAGTCTGATTTATAAAATTATTTGTGGAATTATTCATGATAAAGGTTCTTATATTCTATTCTTAATGTTCTTAGAGATTCTTAGTGGAAAGTTTTTTGGTGAAGTTTTTGTTGGGAATAGGGAGATTTTATCATCTTTTGAAAAGTTGCCAGCGAGTATAATTTCTATTATAGCGATTTCGATTGTTACTTTTAAATAAACTGATTCTTTTCTACATCCACCAACATCTGCACACTGACGTTAAACAACACAATAATCATTATATATTGTTAACCAACGATAAACATTATATGCTTAAAATGATTGCTTCATTTTTCATATGTAATAGACAGCTTGTTTAGTTTCATTGAAAAATTCAATTGTCATCGTTGAGGACAACCGGTTCGAACAAGATCATAACTCAAAAAACGGAAGTGATTAGTATATTTATTGTAAAAGTAATATATTAACGCCATTATTTTATTGAATTAGATTTTTTGTGGGGTAACGGTAATATATATTCATAGATTACAATATATGTATTTGTATTATGTATCTATATATCGATATTATATTATGTCCGATCAACATTGACCAAGTTGTGATATGTGTTAATCTAGTATATACAGCAAACAATGAACACCTAAATATTAAATTGTCAGATATGTAACAAAAGGCCAGCCTTTGAACTGATATCGATACCGAAAGGTTTTCCGGACCCGGTCTTGAATAGGTCCGGAATGATTAAATAAACGCTAGAATTATACACGTGGTCGAAATTTTCGAAATTTTCGAAACTATTACGGTTTATGTCGTAACTAGTTCGAATAGGCCGAATAGGCCATAGGTGTGTCCAAAAATTCAAAACCCGTAAATTTTTTTAAGACCTAAGGATCGTGATGGTGATACTAATAATTAGGATCGGGCGTGGTCGGGCTAATAAATTCAATTTAATTTACATTATTTATACAGTTTAGAGTACTTTTTTAAAAAACGAAAACCAACCACAATGATGTAAAAAAAAACTATATAGAAGATTTCATTAGAGCTTTAGGACTCCATAGTCAAAAATAAGATCTAATTCTCGTCCGTTTAAAAAATTTAGATAGTAATAAATTGGTTTTGAGAAATTATTACTATACTAACTTTTTTAAACGGACGAGAATTAGATCTTATTTTTGGTTATGAAGTCCTACAGTTATAACGAAACCTTCTATACAGCTTTTTTTATATTTCACTATGATTAGTTTTCGTTTTTTTAAAAATTACTCTAAACTGTATAAATAATGTAAAATTAAATTGAATTTATTAGCCAATCAGTCAAACTTCTGCCTATGAGTCACTACTAGATTAAAATTAAACACAAAAATGGAATGTACCAAATAGTTTGGTATACATCGATAGTCAAACCAAAATTGCAACCTAAATGCGAAAGAACATAATTCAGATAAAGTTTGCCGCATTAGCTCAATGGTGAGTATATCATTTTGGAAAAATGACTTTCTGAAAATCGTGCACTAGGTTCAAGATATATGCATTATGACATAATTAACTAGCTATTGTAATAAAACAATTCCAAATCAATGTAAAACTTGATTTAATATGATTGTCGACCAATTTAACAATAGAATATACTGCCTATTTTTAATTCATGTTTCAATTCTTTTTTTCGTTCAGGACATCTACAGAGTTGGTCAAATAACAGAATTCTCAAAATGCTTGATTCGGTGTTTAATGTTGCCTCTTTTACTATTAGATCCTCTTCTATTCTACTATTAGATTATGATTCAATATTTCACATTTCTCAATTCAAAATGTATAAATAATGATCTTTTCTATAAAATTACATTTAAACAAAAATTTTAATTTTAGAAAAGTACGTTGAACAATAGTAATGTCTATAATATTATTTATCTCCAATTGAAAAAAATTAATGAACAATGGATTGAAAACAATTGGGTTGTTTTTTTTTTACTTATTACTTTGTTTGCTAATTAGTGGTAAATATCAATTTTAATTTGTTATTCGATGATATTTCTTAATGACAATTTTCTTTTGAATTATTAGACAGTTTAAAAGTCGGCTAAAATTTGTAATCAAAAATCTCGGCATAAAACTCAACATGAAATTTAGGTTTATATTAATCTTGGTTATCAATTTGCAACTTATTTCCAGAAACCGTAACGTACCAATTTTTTAAAGTTTGTTTATTACATCATAGTGGGGTAGTCTTTGATTCTATGCATGTACTACGTACGTCACCTATACATCGATTGTGATTTCACATGTCAAAATGTGTCAATAAAAGAATCTAGAACTTCATATGTAAGTACGTACGTGCTATTGACATTGGTTTTTTTGGATACATACATTCATCTTACGGATTAAATTTATGGCCGTAAGTACTAAATTACTCCTCTTGATCTGTTGCATTTATATACATACATATATGTTGTACTCAAATAACAATCCAGTCCCGATTGTTAATTGGGACAGCCCAAATGGAAATTTGACAGATTTAACCCTAGTTTCTGGGCTAAATTAATTTATTTTTTTGGTCAGATTGTTATTTGAGGCACGACATATACATATAATAATGGAAGAAATACAATGGTTTATGTGCAGTCTTTTAATAAACTATATACTAGTCAACAATGGGTAATTTATATTGCAATTGTCTATCCTTTCTTTCGTCAACGTAAACACATACGTAATCTTACTTAACTGTGTATCGGTATTATATCTCCAGATTAATCAAAAAATTAATAATCTGACTTTAAGATTTATACATTAGTGTGTTGCTGTATTTTTTAAAAGCGCATAAAGATTTAGGTTTAGCAAAAAATTCTAAATTATAATTATAATCCCCCGATCACTATATCAAGATCACGGGAGGATTAATTAATAATACCCTGACCGTATGTGAATAAGCGGAAACTTCGTTTCCGCTAATTCCCAACGGATCAGGATATTATTATTACTAATTATTATAATTATATTAATGGATCAGATTTAAAAAATGATTTTTATTAAATAACTCAAATAATGCAGTAAAATTCTATTTAACCTATCGGTTGATCTATGGAATATGGTGTACTAATGCACACGATAATCACATTGATTATCATATTACACAAGGTATAATCATAGATCGTCAATGTAAATTATATAATTTTATTTACAATGATGTTATACAATGAATTTGTGTATCAAAATTAAGAGCACAATTACAAAAATAAAATGTTTATTGGTTTTTTGTAGTTATAAGAATTACCAAAAAGAGGATAAATGAAAGTTTGATAAGGATTGTATAGTAAGACAGTCTTTATCATTTATTTAATATTACTAATTTAACTTTGTTTAGAAAATCATAAAACTAACTATATGTTCAATTGAAAAATAGATACTTAAAATTTGTTCTTGTAATAAAAATGTTAATTAAAAAAAATATTAAAATATTGTTTAAATTTTTAGAATAAGTTTAACATCTTTTATTTAAGAAAATGAAGAAAAAAATAAATTTTGAAACTATTAAAATTGATTATTCTAATAAATTTTATTTAATATTCTAAATATAATAATTAATTATAAATATATTAGAATCAATAATGAATCTTTTAATTATTTTTATTTTCTTATACTAAATAATATTTATTCTTTTATAAAAATAAATATTTTGTATATTATATTAAAATATTTAATATTTTATTAATAATAATTAAATTGTTAAAGAAAAAAGTTTCTAAAATCAATATTTTAATAAAAAAAACTTATATTAAAGAAGAATTGATAAAGAATAATAAATCTAAAGTAATTAAAAAAATATTGAATTTTATAATAATATATGTTTTAAACTAAAGCATTAATCTATAAAAATATAAAAACTAAAAATAAAATTAAAATACTTAAAAAAAGATTATTATATAGTTATTGATAAGAAAAATAATTATATAACAAATCTAAAAATAAACATATTCAAAAAAATAATGAAAAGGGATGTGGCAACCTAGTGAAGTGATCAGGTTGTCAACCCTCCAAGTGGTAGGTTAGGTGTTCAAATCCCATTAACAGCAAAAATTTGGATAATTACCTATATAATATTTGTAATATAAAAACTGTTATTAATAATTGGGTTAGGATACCTGTAATGGTGATTACACCAGCATGACTGGTAGGTCATGGGACATTCATGTAACAGGTCACATGACATTGTCCTTTGGGACAAGGTTGTGGTTACATGAAGGAATGCAAACTGGCAATTAGGTGATGCAAACACTAGATAAGTCCTTGTAGCTATGTAAATCTGTTGAAATTGGATAACTAAAAGTCCATTTGGAAAGACCTGAATAGAGAGGTAGTCAGATTTTCAACAGCCCTACTGTAAAGGCTAACTTTATAAAACAGATACCAAGATCGAAGTAACTAGATGGGCAAAAACCTCTAGATGGAGGTACTACCAACCAGGTCATCAGATTAAGCCAGAGTAAAAGGATATTGAACTGACCTAATATACTAATGGACTAGTCATAAGTTCTACCAGACTATATAGATTAGGAGTTTGGTGAACTGGCAGAGGTATACTAAAGTATTTCAGATATGCTGTGAAGTAGATGCTAAGGTTTGTATGAACTCTATAAAAATATAGCAGTTTAATAGTTAGCCCTGACTGCAAGTATTGGTTCTACCATAGTGATACCTAGATTAGCTATAAAAATAGGTATAGAAGGCTCTGGAAGGTTTACCTCAAGGATAAATTAGTCCTAAAGTTGAGATGATGATCTGGGTATCTGGAATAACCTAGTGATATTAACACAGATTACAGGTTCAGAGAGTTTAAAATAAAACACCCAAGCAGGGGTGTTAGATATGACAATTGGTAGAGAACCTTCGGGTGAACTTCTTAAATAGGTAATATAGAAAAGTTACATGTATAGCCAATTGTATGTTTTTCTGTAGTGGTTCATTGAACCACAATACTAATAAGTGACTAATAAAAGTCAAAAGACCAAAGAGGTCACCTTAATACCAAAAAAAAAAAAAAATAATAATGAAATTCAA